CAAGCCCTCTGTTTATCCATCTGTACAATGGGCACAATCATATTTAATCTCGTAGCCCAGAGGGTTGGGAGGTTTGATTGATGTTTGTAAAATTCCTCAGGATTCTTGGAGTATGGATATAAATGTGAAGCATTATTTACTAAAACATGCTTATACTGGTGCCCCACTAGAGATTTACCCAGCATCAGATGAGTGCTTTCCATTCAGAGACTGCTGTTTCAGACTGTGCAACATTGCTGCACTCATCAATAAGATCACAGTTATCATCCAAGCTGCACAGTAGGGATAAAACAAACAAAATAGGCACCTGGAAGCAGAAGCAAAAACTGTGATTTCATGATTTCCTTTTCTACCATTGTCCTAAATGAGTAAATGACGTACCAAAGTCTACAATGGCCAAAGAACACTTCTAACGAACACCGTGAAAAGCAAGGCAACCAGAGCAAAGGCATCTGCTGCAGTTACTCAGCAGGGGTCTGCCCATGAGCGTAAGGATGGTCCAGTGGTTAGTGTGTCTCCCTGGCCCACAGGAGGCCTGCATTCTAATCCCTGCTCGCCACAGACTTTGTGTGTGACCTTGGGCACATCACAGGGTTTCTGTGCCTCAGGTCCCTATCTGTAAAACAGATACTCTAGCGGTTCCCTACCTCACAGGGGAGTTGTAAGGATACATAACGAGTGGGTTGCACATTTTGTTGCTTATGTAGACCAAGCTGTACCCTGCTGGGCCTTTGCCCCCACCACAGCTGGGACTCTGGCGAGATCCTTATTGATTTTGGTAAAAAGCTTGATTTTTCATTCAAATCAGGTTTTCCCACTCCCAATTTTCACCAAAATCAATAGGGTTCTGACCAGAGTGGGGGCCAGACAGAGTTGGTAGAGGGGTCCGTTAACCCTCACCTACCCATCATTCTAAACCCTAACCTTGAGGTCACTGCCTCATCCCTGTATCCTGCGTGACCAAATGATGATGTTAGTGGAAAACTGGTTTTTCCAGCTTTCATCAAAATCAATAGGCATCTCCCCATTGATGTCTAGAACATTCCCTGAGATTCTGGATTTGATCGGATGCAATTTTCATATTATCATATTATGTACAGACAAAGAGAAATGCCCTCAAGTTGCTTTCTCCTCAGTGTTCCGTGGGTGACCCTATGCCTTTTTTACTACACACTATTCAAATCCTGCTCTGAAAACAACATTATTAATTTCCTCATGGGCTCTTTTATGGTGCTTATCACTCTAGTTACAGCTGAGTGCTTCAAAAACCTTAACTGATTTTCCACAACACTCCTCTGAGGTGAGGAAGTACTACCAGCCCTGTTTTACAGCTATGGAACTGAGGCATAGAGTCATTAAGGTCAAAGTATCCACCATTTTGGGTGCCCAATTTGAGACACCTAGGACTTGATTGTTCAAAGTACTGAGAATGGCTGAAGTTTGGCAAAGTTATAGGGAACCGAAAACAGGGTCTTATAGTGGAAATTGCTGGGCAACCTTAACTAGAAGCAGCGCTACCTGTGATACCTAATAATAATAATCGTGCTCCCACTGAAGTCGTTAAGTGCAGAAATGTGCCACTGATTTACTTGCAACTGCTTGCGATCTCTAGTCTATAAAGTAGAAGTAGCAGGGAGTATCAGATAATTTGAAAGAGCTCAATTCATAGCTCAAATTAAACCAGGGATTTGGATTCCAAAACCTTAATTCTCACTCTCCACACAAGCCCATCCCCTAAAAAAAATGAGGTGAAATAGAAACAAAAAATACAATGGCAAATTAGAACCACCTTAATCAATTTACCATCCTTCAGTGACCTAACCATTTCTGCTTTAAGTGATTAGCATTGCTCTCTCTCTGGTTCTGAAGTGGGTGGTCATATTCTTGAATAATGGCTTGTTAGTAAACATTTCTTCAGGCTGAACTGTATTCACAGATTGTATTCATAAGGGTCAAGACTATTGTAGAATGCAAGTGTGTTGTTTTCAGTCTGGAGGGAGCAAATATAATCCAACTACTACATTGCAGTACTTGAAAACATTTCCATTTTAGGTATGTGGCTGCCACAAAATGTACTGGTTTTAAAAGTTTATTCTTTTCCTTCCAATGTTTTACTTTAAAAAGTTCCAGGCATCTCAAATGTGGTCTTCCTTAGCTTTGCAGAAGATTTCTTGGAGATGCCAGTGATGTGTACTGTGAGTTCCTACACCCTTATTAAAGGGTTAGGAGTACTGAATATTTAATAAAGACATCTTTTCTCCCAACTGTTCATTACACATTTTGGAATTAAATAGGTTTTTACCAGAATCAAAATACAACAGTATGTCTAAAAGTCCTACTCTATCTCAAATTGTTCATCTTTCACTTTTGTCAGTTGTGCTGTCATCATGTTACTGGTTGTCTAGTGATTATAGAGTCTTCCTGACTTTCTAATACAAGAAAAAAGTGTTAAAATAAACCTTTTTTTGGAAAAATATTTCAGGCCATCTTTATACATCATAAAGAAGCAACAAACAAACAAACACCCTAAAAAAATACCGCAAGCCCATTTGTTTTTCATTTTCAGGTCACCTCAAAGGTTCATGACCAGGGTAGGATGCAGATCTGTGTTTTTTCCTGGCTACAGGTTCTCGTTTAGCTGTGTGAAGGTAAATCAGCCTATCTTTCCATTTACTCATCTGTAAAATGGGTATACTCTGCGAGAAGAAAGCTGGTCTTGTGGGTTAAGATGCTAGCTTGGGACTTATGCCATCTAGGTTCAATTTCCAGCTATACCACAGATTTCCCATGTGACCATAGACATATCAGCTAGTTTCTTTATGCCTCAGTTCCCCATCTGTAAAATGGAAATGATACTTTCTTTTCTCTCATCCTGTCTTGTCAATTGAGATTATAAATTCTTCAGCTCTTTTTCTTTCTCAGCTCTGTGTTTGTAGAGTGCCTAATACAATGAGACCCCCACTATTAACTGGTGCTACTGTAATACAAATTATAGTAATAAAAATAGTTATCTGCTTCATAGAGGTGTTGTAATGCTAAGTTTGTTAGTGTTTGTATGTCTGAGACCCTTTGGGGTTCTCTACTAGCCGTTGCTGTAGAATTCCAAAGTAGTAGTATATTAAAATACAGGTCTTCCCAGGAGAGGAAAACATTGACTTTTTCTACTACACTCACATTTTTTACTGTCTCTCACCTCAGAAGGTGGGTGAGTCATGAAACATGCACTTCTTTCAGAAAGCTAGTAATTAGCTAGAAATAGAATAGAGCAAAAGTCACAGTGTTAAATACAAATCCACACACTTCATTTGGTATCTTTATAAGAACCCTGACAGGCTATTGCCGGGTCAAACCGAAAGTGGAAAAGCACAGAAAATAGAAATGGATAAAGGAGCAGTGTGAAATACAAATGGTACAGATTTCATTCAATATAATTACTGTGTGAAGCCCTGACAGGCATGAGCTGTTGCATGGTCAACATCTGGAAGGCCAAGTCAATCCTGCAATTACCACACTGTAAAGAGATGGGTTGCGGAGAAAAGGGATACCTCAGTGGTTTGAGCATTGGGCTTGTAAATCTGGGGTTGTGAGTTCAATTCTTGAGGGGGCCATTTAGGGAACTGGGGTAAAAATCTGTCTGGGGATGGGTCCTGCTTTGAGCAGGGGGTTGAACTAGATGACCTCCTGAGGTCCCTTCTAACCCTGATGTTCTATGATTTATCTCATCATATAGTTTGATGAAATAATATACAGTATGAGAACCTTGGGAACTGTTGCAAGTTTCCTCATGGTCCTGTGAGCATGGTTGTGTTTTGTTTTAATATAGGATCTAAAATGTCTGCCTCTATGGGACTTTCCTGTTCCTTCTCTGGATTTTTCCCTGATAAAGTGCTATTTGGGCTCAGTGTAAAGGCACTTAACTCTATGGAGTGGATGAGTAGGATTGAACCAGTGTAATCCACACTAGCACAGTGTTATTTGCATTGGCCTTGTTAGCACTACAAAAGTAATTTCCCCTCCCTTGGTATTCACCCCTTCTTGTCAACTGTTCAGAATAGGTCACTTCCACCTTAACTGAATTAAGGGAGGGATAGCGCAGTGGTTTGAGAATTGGCCTCCTAAACCCAGTGTTGTGAGCTCAATCCTTGAGGGGGCCACTTGGGGGTCTAGGGCAAAAATCAGTACTTGGTCCTGCTAGTGAAGGCAGGGGGCTAGACTTGATGACCTTTCAAGGTCCCTTCCAGTTCTAGGAGATAGGATCTCTCCATTAAATTTAAAAAAATTCATTAGCATTGACCCCCCTACTTGGTAAGGCAACTCCCATATTTTCATGTGCTATAATATACATTCTGCTTACTGTATTTTTCACTCCATGCATCTAATGAGGTGGGTTATAGCCCACAAACACTTATGCCCAAATAAATTTGTTAGTCTCTAAGGTGCCACAAAGACTCCTCATTGTTTTTGCTGATACACGGCTACCCCTCTGAAACCAGTGTTATTTTTGTCTCTCTCTAATGGCTGATCCACAAAAGGATAAAAGCCTGTCACTGCTGCCAGGTAAAGAGATTGCTCCCTTATTTCACATGATACAGGCTCATACTTTTAAAGTTAAAGGTCCCAGGTTCAAAAACTACTGAAAACTACAACTATATCCAGACACAGCACATAGAGGTTAAAAAAAAGATAAGCTAAGAAAGGCGCAGGAGCCCAAAACAATAAATAGGGAAATAAACCACAGAAGCCTTGAGACTTTCTTGTTCAGGGTCAGCAGTGTATATCTGGGATCCTTGGCATGCCTGGCCAAGGAGTGATTGCTAACATAATGAGAAGTTATTGTTAGCTCTTTTGAGGTGAAATTATTGGCATTAATAATTACCACCAACAAAATAATCTGTGGGAATTTTGGGATCATTAGTGACAATGTCCAAGAAACTCAAAGAGCAAACAGAAATGATAGGAGCAATAAGAAATGTGCTGTTTGGGTAAATATAGAGCACAGATAGCTTTGTGAAAGATTTTAATAAACATTTAAAAAAGAGGATGAAGCACATCTTGCAATAGAAACACTTAACAACCCATTCATTTCAGGGTCCCAACCTTGCTTCTTAAAGGGAAATCAGGTTTTTGTAACAGCCTAGATATATCAGGCAGGCATACATTTCCAATTACATCTTGTCATCAGATTTCACCCATTATCACAGACTCAAGATTATCAGACTAGTCACATCCCATCTGTTTAGTTCAGGTCAGATTGACTGGTAACCACAAAGCTGCTAATGATCTACATGAGATTCTAAAAATTAGATTTTTCTAGACACATTTTTCACAGAAAGAAAGTAGGAGTCAGATCTTCAGGGGCCATAAAGTAGCATAACATCAATGATTTCTATGGGGCTTTGCTGATTTATGCTAGTTGATGATCTAGCCCTAGGTTTTTACCACCACATGTTGAAATGGTTGTATGTTTCAGGTATTGTCCAGATTTGGTTTCACTACTCATTAGACTGAGCATGCTACCATCTAAACAATTGCCTGTCCACCATCACTTTAGTGAATGGACACATCAGATAGCCTTGCGTTTCTTAACAGGAGGCATGGTATGCCACTCTCGTGTATTGTTTTTATTACTGAAAAGCTGGAGAACACCATGTCTTCCTGAAAAACCTGACTCCAGAATCCTTGAGCATCCTGTTGAAAAAGGACATTCTTTGATTGCAGAAATTCTGTTTAGGGGTTACTCTACTGGAATTTATTCCTAAATAGCTCTAAGACAATGACTTTTTTTGCAACAGTGAAGTGATACTTGGGAAATCTGTTATTTGTTATTCACCCCTCCTAGCCAAGTAACTTTCATGGTAGCTTCTAATAGTATAATTACAGGAAGCCATATGGTGGCATTTTCAAAAATGCTCCGCATTGGCTTAACTCTTCTTCCACTGAAGTCAAAGGGACTTTAATTGTTAATTTTAGAGGGAGCAGAGGTAGGCCAACACTGATCGCTTTTAATTTTATTTCTTTTTTTTTTTTGGAGTTTGTTGCCAACTCTACATAGCCAGAAGTCACCAGACAAACCCTGAAAAGTCACTAGTCAAAAGGAGTCAAAATTGTCACTAAACAAAATTTCCAGAGAATTATAAACACGTGTGCCTAGATGAGTATAGTCACAAAATCTTTCACAAGCAGCTCAATCGTGTTAATAAAATCCATTCCACGCTCGTCTTACTACATTCTGTTGGACACCAAGTCAATATTATGTCTCAACTGAGTATGTCCTCCAAAGGAATCACATTCCAGGGCTTCTTGGGCTGAGGTCACTATAATCTGCAGGCGAGGAAAAGAAGTTTGTGGAGTCTAATTAAATATTTTGCTCAGATACTAATGGAAGCCATATAAGAACCATAGATAAACTTCTGTGTCCATTAGTAAGCTTTATCTGAACCATGCTTCAATATTTTCTTATTTATACACATATTTTACTACACTCATATGGCAATAAAAACGGACCATTCATCACAGCTTAGGTAATTAGAACCCAACTTTCAACTCTCATCAGCCCTTACTTTAGGATATAATAAAGAACAACAGTACTTACCGGTTAGCATGTCATTTTATTATAGTGAATCTTATTTTACATGGTTCAAATCTAATATTGATTTTTTTGTTCCTTTAAACAAAAATGTACTTAATACATTATCTTTTAGAATAAAGAGAAAATTATGAATAGAGAACATGGTAATTATTAAAAAATATATTTTTAAAGTGCTTTATAGGCTTTTTATTATGTTATGCATTAAAAAGGCAGATTTGGGGTGTGTGACATGGCTTAAATATACTAGCATTTCACTGCTGGAGACCTTGAGGTGCTGGGTTAATTTCTTACTTTTCACAGGCACTAAAATTTCACGAAAATATTCAGATTTTAAAAAAACTATTTTATCACCCCGAAGTTGCTCCTGCCTGGCTATAAAAATTAAACAGATACCGAAGGGCCCACCATTTAGCATCATTCCACTCCCATGTCTTTATAGAGATGGGGCCAAGCCCTGAAGTTTAGATCAGGAAAAAGATCCAAACTTCCTAAATTTGTCTGTGTATCTACAGATGGCCTGAAATACAGCTCTAGTCATTTGCTAACTCTGCACCATGTTCCTGTGCTGACTATCCGTAGTCAGAAAATCTGTACATAGATTTGCAGGGTCTAGCCTTGTTTCACTATTGTGCTAGATCTCCCGTGAGCTGGAATTTGTGTATCTAAATAGCCAATGGCAAGACATTGACACTATATGGCTGTATCTATACTGGGGGTAGGGACAACTTTCTCTGGGACTCAGTGAGTGCCTGAATAGGGGAAGAATGGTCAGGAATTCGGGATTTTAATCTCTCTCTCAACTACAAAGAAGGTGGAATTTAGTGTATCCACAGAAGCATTAACTGGCTGCATCTCACTGAAATGACAGCAAGGGAGGGCAGGTTGCTACAAGGATGGACAAGAGAAAAAGGATCACATTTCCAGTTAATTGAAACATACGGTCTCTTATTCAGCTAATGGAGTGAAGGGGGCCCCACTAGACTGTATTCATGCTTGTAGCCTATGCTGTTTGCTCTAGCCCTTTCGGTCTAGTAATAGATTAATGTTACAATAATTTGACATGATTGTAGTACACAGAATCTATAGTGTTGTATATTTTCTACACCTCTTAAAAAAAAAACCCCTGAAAATATAAGGCAACATTAGATCATAATTGCACTGTAGAAACACATACTCTTTACCACTTAGAGCTTGTGAAATAATCAGACTTGCTGCTCTTCTAATCATGACAAGTTGACAAATGTAGTGACAATGAAGAATTCGAGCTAACTCCTGCCTCCCTCAACATACGAGGTCAAAGGCGCTTGGATAAGGCAGCCTCGGAAGACAAAAAAGAAATAGACTCTTCAAAAGAGACTCATGTCTTGGTTGCTGATAGATTCGTTGTCCTGAATGTACTGGAGAATGTCTACCTCGTCCATGGTTTGAATCTTGTCTTCCTTCGGCTTTGCTGGAGGGGCTGGACTAACATTGTTCTTAGTGGTGATTAATGGCTTCTTAAGCAATGCCGGTTTACATGGCAGCCTGGGTTTTGGCTTTGAACTCACTCTCCAGAGCCTCTCTAAATCCTCTTCAACCCTAAGGAAAGAAAATAAAAAAACAAATGCACATGTGACTCCTCATTGGAGCTGACCAGGAATTTTTTGACCAAAAATATTTTCCCTCGGAAAATGCCAGTTCACTGAAACTGAAACTTCATGGGAAAGGGTTGATTTCAACCAATTTCCCATTCTGAAAATTCTGGAAACTTTGAAATTGTCACAGAAAACGGTAAAATGAGACACTAAATGAAAAGTTCAATTTTTTTTATTTGAAATGACTTTTTATTTAGAAATGCAAGTTAATGTAGAGTAAAGAAAAACTTTAAAAAATTGAAATTGAAACAAAACCTTTCCGTTGACCAAACTGATTTTTTTTTTCCTGTTCACAAAAGTTTGAGATTGATTTTTTGCCTCAATTTGGAACGGGAAAATATTTTTGAAATTTCAACGTTTTTCACAGGACAGGCAAACTCTTTCCTGCCCAGCTCTGCTTCTCAGACAAACAAGATGAACTACAAATCTAGCTGCTAATGCTGATCTGGATAAAGTTAACCACAGAATGGCTTGTTCACACATGCTCCTGTGAAACAGAAGGCTCCTTTGATCTGTGTGGATTATGCTTTTTTAGGGTAACTTTTCCCAACTTTCTAATCAAATAATATTCAAACAACATCAAAACATACAAGGAAAAATTAAAATAAATTAAGGGCATTTATATTGTTTGGCTGGATTGAACGACGTAAGTATTAGTGTGAGATTTCAGGGTGGGATAAAGCACTCTGCATTGGTCTAACTCTACTGCCGTTGAAGTCAATGGTAAAACATGGGAGCAGGGTCAGTGCTGAACCTTTGAAAAATCCCATCTTTGATCATTCTGAAAACTGCAGCTGGAAAGACCCCCTCCCCCCTTTGGCAACAGGATGGGGGAAGTTCTGCCATGCACTGGGTAATGCTAGATTGATTGGGTGCACCCCTCTCTGCAGCAGGTGGCTCCCCAAGAGCAATATGCACAGAGCAAGTGAAGATGGGGATAAGGGAAGGGGCAAAGCCAGACTCTTCACTTCTGTGTGGATTCTCTGGTCCTCCCGCTAATGCTGTGGCACCGGTGGCTGGAATGGGTTTGGCGGAGCAGCTCTGCAGCCACTTTACTGCCTGGGGTGGGCAAAGTTCCTATTAATTGTATCCCTTTTCACACTCTGTGTTAGTTGGGTTGGGACTAGAGCCTTGGATTTGGCCCTTATCTCAGATCAGTTAGCAGGTATTTTGGCTCCCTGTAATGTTATTTATACTTTCTTGTTCATATTTTCCCCACCACATATCTGCTCCTGTTGCGCTAGCTGGTGGCTTTGGGGTATACTGGGTGAAATCCTGGCTCTATTGAAGTCAATGATTTGACTCCCACTGACTTCAATAGGGCCGGGATTTCACCCCTTATATATTTATTCACTGGTGCCCCCAGCAGAGATTTAATAATACTCTCTACTAAGCACAGCAGAGCAATAAAGGAGCCATTGGCAGGCTATTAAATGCAAAGCAAAGCTGAGGTGTTCCGTAACCATAGAAGCAGTTTATTCTGCTTATAGCTCCAGCACCATGGCCATTATTCCACATAGGCGATAACAAAAGAAGAGTCAACAAATCTGAGACGCTTCTCTCATCACATCATCCATCCCAGTTACAATTCTATAAATATTTGAATTTTAAAATACTCAAAGAACTCCCTCATCATTATTACTACTAGCAGAAATAGTATTAGTTTGGCTTTCTTAAAAGATACAACATAGAATTTCTGACTGTACTGTCTAGACGAGTGGTTTTCAACCTGTTTTCATTTGCAGATCCCTAAAAAGTTTCAAATGGAGATGTAGACCCTTTGGAAATATTAGACATAGTCTGCGGACCCCGTGGTCTGGGGACCACAGGTTGAAAACCACTGGCGTAGAGTGAATCTAGTTGAACTTAACGCCATTTGGGCCATGCAATGGCTAAGTAGCACCTTGATCTTTCTATTTAACAACTGTCTTTCAGCCTTTTAAGGTTGTTGGAACTTGGCTCCTTATTTGAAGTCAAACATTTTGACAACCCCCTTACGTTTACTATAAAAGTAAAAGTGTATAAATGATAAGCCTATATAATACAACTACATTTGACCTCACAAACTTGGAAGGTGTTGCTAACCATGAAATAATTCTGGAAATTTTATTTTCTCTGCTTTAGATCATAACAACATTTTCAATGCCTTGCAACCTCCCCGATTGCCTTCCATGTCCTGGTAGGAGTTACAGTTAGAACTGGGCAAATAAATGATTTTTCAGTACAGCAGCAGTTCCAAAAAAATTGGGGAAAAAATTGGTTTGGTTTCAATCAAATCTGAAATTTAAATAAATTGTGATTAGTTAAAAAAGTTCATTCTGGGTCTCAACGTGGGTCTCCAATGTCCACTGTGAGTGCCCTAACCAATGAGGTAAAGGTTAAAGAGCAGTATGATTGCTCAGAGCTCCAGTCTGAAACTGGAGACTAGCCTGTTGAGAGTCTTTGGGTTAAGTTTAGAGGCGAGAGCAACAAGGGTGATGTCGTGGTGAGCGTGTGCTATAGACCACCGGATCAGAAGGATGAGGTAGACGAGGCTTTCTTTGAACAACTAACTGAAGTCTCCAGATCACAGGCCCTGGTTCTAATGGGGGACTTCAATCACCCTGACATCTGCTGGGAGAGCAATACAGCAATGCACAGATAATCCAGGAAGGTTTTGGAGAGTGTTGGGGACAACTTCCTGGTACAAGTGCTGGAGGAACCGACAAGGGGCCGTGCTCCTCTTGACCTGCTGCTTACAAACAGGAAAGAATTGGTAGGGGAAGTAGAAGTGGGTGGCAACCTAGGCAGAAGTGACCATGAGATGGTTGAGTTCAGAATCTTGAAAAAAGGGAGAAAGGAAAGTAGCAAAATACGGACCCTGAACTTCAGAAAAGCAGACTTAGACTCCCTTAGGGAACTGATGGGCAGGATCCCCTGGGAGGCTAATATGAGGGGGCAAGGAATCCAGGAGAGCTGGCTGTATTTTAAAGACGCCTTATTGAAGGTGCAGGAACAAACCATCCCGAAGTGCAGAAAGAACAGCAAATATGGCAGGCACCCAGCTTGGCTTAACAGTGAAATCTTTGGTGAGCTTAAACTCAAAAAGGAAGCTTACAATAAGTGGAAATTTGGTCAGATGACATGGGAGGAGTATAAAAATATTGCTAGAGCATGCAGGGGTGTAATCAGGAAGGCCAAGGCACAACTGGAGTTGCAGCTAGCAAAGGATGTGAAGGGTAACAAGAAGAGTTTCTACAGGTATGTGAGGAACAAGAAGGAGGCCAGGGAAAGTGTGAGACCCTTACTGAATGGGGGAGGCAACATAGTGACAGATGACGTGGAAAAAGCCGAAGTACTCAATGCTTTTTTTGCCTCGGTCTTCACAGACAAGGGCAGCTCCCAGACTGCTGCACTGGGCAACACAGCATGGGGAGTAGGTGAACAGCCCTCACTGGTGAAAGAACAGGTTAAGGACTATTTAGAAAAACTGGACATGCACAAGTCCATGGGTCCAGATCATAGGCGCCGACTCTGTGGGAGCTCCGGACCTGGAGCACCCACGGGGAAAAATTGGTGTGTGCTCTGCACCCACCGGCAGCTCCCCGCCCCAGCTCACCTCCGCCTCCTCCCCTGAGCGCGCCACCAAGTCCTACTTCTCCCACCTCCCTCCCAGCACTTGCGCCGTGAAATAGCTGTTTCGCACGACAAGCGGTGGGAGGGAGGGGGAAGGAGAAGGAACGCGGCGCACTCATGGAAGAGGTGGGGCCGGTGCGGGGATTTGGTGCGGAGTCCAATAGGGGCAGGGAGGGGCGGAGTCGGGGCGGGGCCAGGGCACGAGCACCCACCAGTACCAAGGAAAGTTGGTGCCTGTGGTCCAGAACTAATGCATCGCAGGGTGCTGAGAGAGTTGCTGATGTGATTGCAGAGCCATTGGCCATTATCTTTGAAAATTCGTGGCGGGGGGAGGTCCCAGACGATTGAAAAAGGCAAATATAGTGCCCATATTTTAAAAAGGGAAAAAAAGAGAACCTGGGGAACTACAGACCAGTCAGCCTCACTTCAGTCCCCAGCAAAATCATGGAGCAGGTCCTCAAGGAATCCATTTTGAAGTACTTGGAGGAGAGGAAGGTGATCAGGAACAGTCAACATGGATTCACCAAGGGCAAGTCATGCCTGACCAACCTGATTGCCTTCTATGATGACATAACTGGCTCTGTGGATATGGGGAAAGTAGTGGATGTGATATATCTTGATTTTAGAATTCTTGCCAGCAAGTTAAAAAAGTATGGATTGGATGAATGGACTATAAGGTGGATAGAAAGATGGCTAGATTGTCGGGCTCAATGGGTAGTGATCAATGGCTCGATGTCTAGTTGGCAGCCGGTATCAAGCAGAGTGCCCCAGGGGTCAGTCCTGGGGCCGGTTTTGTTCAACATCTTTATTAATGAGTTGGATGATGGAATTAATTGCCCATCCTTCAGTCAAACACATACATTGTAGTCTGCAGACCGGGGCCTCAGATTGTGAGCTCCAGGTCAGGAACTATATCATCTTGTCTGTCTGAAAACCATCTAGCACATTGTGGGCAATCCCACAGAACCAACCAACCAACCACTAATATTTATCATGCCCTGGGTTTTACTGTTTTCATCTTAGATTATAAAAACGGAAAAGCTTTATCCTGTATGACTTTTTAAAATAATTATCAGCAAATTTCCTGTAAAATTTACACAGGATGTGTCTCCTCTTACCTCATTTCTCAAAGTTCACATGTGTTTTCTGTAATAATCTGCCTGCTAGCCCCAGGGTGAGTCCCATTCCTAGAGGTATCCCTTTGCACAATGACAATTCTCTTTCATTTTTGACTGAATAAAATTCTGAAGCTGGCCACAATTAAATAATACATTTTCTGCATGAATATTCTTAGGCCATAAGGAAAAAGAGGTCCTGTGTTCACACAGT